ATAACATAACCTGATATTAGAGGAATCTATAAGCCAGAGATAATGATTTTTTGTGATGATATAAAGTAAATTTTGTGTGTAATTAAAATGAATTTTGTATTGCATTGTGATTTATTTTTTATAAATTTTGTGCAATTTTGTGATATTTTTATAAAATTTTGCGAAATTATATGATATTTTATTATATAAAAATAAAAAAAAATTATAAAATCAATTATCCTGATTAAAATACTTTATATTTAGTTGTTTAGGTGATTCTTTAGATAAATTTTGATAGTTACTATCAAATAGAGTATTATATAAGGAAAAACTACGTTCAACAGTACAGCTAGATATAGGTAATCAAATATAATCAAGTACTATTTGAGAAATAATTAGTAAAAAATTTGCTATATTATTCCAATAAGTTTTCAAATTATTTTCATTTAAATTTCTATCATATTCCAACCCATAGTAAATATCCTATTCACATATTAAATCATTTGAAGGATTATTAAATTCATTAATAACTGCATATTGATATATATTATATCATTGATAATTTTCTATATGAATAAATTTAGGATCAAAAAGTAGACTGCACAAAATAAAGACGCGTAGAATGATTTAGAATATGCAATTTAAATTTGTTATACGCGGTTTGATGACTTGAAAAATAGGATAAAAATCTTGAAGATTGATTAAGTTGTGTGTCATAATTTCATCAAGCTCTATACTAAAATAAGTAGTGATCCAATTTGATTTAAGATAAGCTGTAAAATTTTCAATCTGTATTTCAACAAATAGAAAACCAGGTTTTTTTTGTTGCTAAAAAAAATCTAAGTCTTAATTAAACAAATGTTTTAGCATAAATTGAAATAAAGTTGACATAAATTGTAATAATTCCTAATTGTACTATATTTTGTAAAATTGAATGAATTTCACCTATAGTTTTATATCTTGAATCATTTTCATATTCTCTTTCATAAAAATCTGGTCAAAATTGAAGGTATTCCTTAATATAAAACACTATTTTAAACTAGCTGTTCTACTGAGTTTTATTTGGTAATAGAATTTTACATAGTAATGCAATTCTATTTATATTCAAATAAGTTATATATTAGTTTTTTCTTACAGGAAATTTGACAAAAAATATTCTTAATTTTAGCCAAAAAAGTTTTTAAAAGAGAAAATGATGAAAAATCTCGTTAAGTTTCACTATTTTAAATATAATTAGTATATTAATAATTTATATAATTATAATAAATAATAATTTTATTTTAACTTATCCAATAAGATTTAATATATGCGTAAGACATGGAAAATGTAACAATTGTAATATAAGTATTTTTAAGACATTACGGTAATACTTTTTCATATATGCTACAGAATCAGAAAGAAATAAATGTGAAAGAATCAAAGGTATATTATAAGAATATAATATAGGAAGAAGTGTTTATGCAAATATTGTATTATTTACTTATTCTAAAAAATCAACTGAAACCAATTTTATATATGAATAATATGTAAAAAGAGTATTAATTACACTTTACCCACAATCATTACTGCTCTCATCCATAATAATACAAACAGGTTTAAAATCAAAAATTAATTTAGAGCATCAATATGTTTATTAAAAATATTAGGTAAATAAATTTGATGTAAAGTTGATGTTTAAGGAATTGCTCCTTCTTCTTTAAGGTATTTTTTAAAAAAAAAAAGTAAAAAATTAATTTTTTCTAGTGGAATATCTGCATCTGCAAATAATTGAATTAAATCTTCTATTATTTCTCTTTTAGAATTAGCTGTAAGCAAAGTTGTTTTTAAAGTTTGTTAGTTTTTTCTTTTTTGGTTATCTTCATAATTTCTTTTTATGTCAGATATTTTTTCCTATACAGTGAGTATTTACAGTTGATTTATGTTTCCATTATATGGAAAGATCATAATAATTATAAAATAAAGGATCATTATCAACATGAAAAATACCAGGATTTTCTTCAATTTGTATATAAACTGTTACTGTTTTACGCTTTTTAAAAGACATTTAAAAATTTTTTCAATCTTAATATAAGATTAAACATTTTCTTTTTACAAGTCAAAAAAAGTTGAAAATACATATTTTTAAGGAGAAATTAAAATACAAAATAAAATTATAACGTAAAATTTTATTTTTTAGTAAAAATATATATTAATTTAAAATTTTTGTGACGTTACATAGAATACAGAAAATTTTTGTGTAATTTTGTGGTAATTAAGTAAATTATTAGTATTCATCACATAATTTTGTGAAATATATAATATTTTGTGAAATGCCAAATATCATCGTTCTTGCTATAAGCTCTTATCAAAAGCATTGTTTTGTAAATGTATATAACTAATATTTGCATTTTTTTGCTAAGTTTTAAGATTATTATAAAATATTTTAGTATAGAAAATTCTGATAACTCTTTATGAAAGAGTAATACTTCAAACTTGAAAAAAAAGTCAGCAACAAACTAACTTTTTTTATTCTTTGATAAGTTTTATAATTAGAAATGTTTTATTAAATAAGAAGTTTATACCAGTTATGTGACATCTATATTGCTATATTTTAAATAATATAAGTTTTTAAGTATTTGAAATGTCACATTTTAAATAATAGTTTTTTAGTATTTAAAATATCAAAAAAAAAAAATTTTTCTATAATTAAAGTTACTAAATGAAACCTAAAGGTTTTGCAAATCATCTAAATAAAAATAGATAAAATTTAGTAAAATTATATTAAAAATCTGCAAAATTCTGAAAAAAATAAAACCATATCAAAATTTATAAAAATGAGAAACTATATCAAAACTTTAGTAAAAATTAGTAAAACTATAATTTAGATATTTTGCTAAATCCAAAATAAGTTTAGACAAATTACCTTAATAATAGTTATCTAAATTATTTTTATCATGATTTAACTTTCATAAATTTTATGTTTGACTAAACTTTTAATTAAAGTTTAAACTTTAACTAAATTTTTAACATTTAACTAAATAATTAAATTGCTTTATATGATATAAATTATAAATTTTATTTATTTATCTTAATTAAAAAATATATTATTATTTAATATTTATTAATTTTAACTTAAATCTTTTTATTATTTATTAATTAATTATATAATTATGAATTATTATTAATTAACATCATAGATAATAATTATTTATATAGAAAATTTGTTAGAAAATTTGGATTCTGAGAATTTTTTTAACTAAAATTAAGATCTTATTATATTTAATCTAATAACATCAAAAATTAAAATATAATAAAAATCAAAATTTTATTAAAAATTTCTTAGAATTCAAATATCTGTGAATTTTTTTAAATTTTATTTTATTAAATTTTTTTATGATTTTTAGTTTTATTTAATCTTTATAGTAAAATAAATATTATCAAATATTATAAATTAAAATTCATAAAAATCTATGAAAATTCCATGAAAATAAAGTTTTGCCATTTTAGCATTTTAATTATTAAATACTAAATAGTTTTAATTTCATATATGATTAAATATTTCAGTTTTATCTAGCATTATTAGTTATTATTATTTGAATTATTATTTTGATTAGAAAGGATAAAAAAATATTCTTTATAAATCTTTAATAATATTATATTTTATTATTGTTATCTTTGTTTTCATTTTATCAATTTAAAAAATAAAATAATATTCTATATTATCCAAAAGTTTTTTCTTGATGAATTATATTATTATTTATATTATTCTTCATAAAATACGTAGATTTTTCATGAAGGTATTGTTTTAATAGTTAAGTATAATTTATTAGTAATATTTTTTAAACTTATTTCTATATTTGAGATTTAAATTAAAATTAAAATAAAATAAGAAATAATATTAAAGAATAGAATAATATTTATAATATTATTAAAATTGTTAATATTATTTTTAATTAAATCAATTATAAAAATTTAATATAGAAAATTTTAAAAACCTTTTTTAATTTTTTATAAAACATTTTATGAAAAGTATAGACTAGTAAATATTTATATAAATGTAATAAGCTATCATAAATAATAAGTTAAATTATTTTAACTTTAAACACAAAAAAAAGAAATAATTAATTGATTAATTGCTCATAATATTACTTTTTTAATAAATTAAAAAGATCAAAACTTTTGAAATTAGTTAAAAAACAAAAAAATAGTAATATTTTCTTATATTAAAATAGTAGAATAATATAATTATTAAGTTTTTTTATCTTTTTTATTATTCTAAACTTTAATAATTGAGAATATTTAGATATTTATAAAAAACAAAGTTGCAAATTTAAATCTGTATTCAAATTTTTTATTTATTTAAAATATACTTTTAAATGTATTTAAACAAAAAATTAACTTATATATTATAGTTGGATTTAGAACAAAATGCTATAAAGTATCTTAATTAATGATGAGCCTAATTACTTTAATTATTCTGATCTAATATTTAATATTTATATTTTTATATTTTTAAATATATATTAATATAAATTAAATAAAAAAAAGTTTATAATTTAAAATTTTTTATTAAAAATATAAAATTTATATAATAAAATTTATAATATTATTATATAAAATAAAATTTTACAATTTTGATTTACTAAAAATAGTTGAATTTATAATTAAATTTAGCTTAATTAATAGCTAAATTATTAAAAAAAATTTTATAAATTTAGAAAAATTAAAAAAAAAAATCAAAAAATAATTATTAAAAGTTTAATTAAGATGATTTAATTAATAAATTATAAAACTTATGTATTTGTAAATAATTGAAATTTAAATACTTTTCAAATAAATTTAAAAGAAATATATATATACATTTATAAAATAAAATAAAATTATAAAAAAAAAAAAAAAAAAATGCTATTATTTTTTTATTTATGTTTTTTAAATAAATAAATGCCAAATTTTTTGTTTGATGATTTTTAAAATAATTAAGTAATGTAAATTATTGAAATAAATTTTTCTAATTTCTAATTATATATTATTTTTATTTTGAATCATGATTCGACATTTCCTGTAAAAGATCTAAAAAAAAAAAAAAAAAATTTGAATAATAATTTAATATATAATAAATAATAAAGAGATATATGTTTATTTAATAAAAAAAAAAAACTTACTATGCCAGTAATTACTTTGTAAATTATTTATTAACTGATCAGCAGTTTGATCATCCATTTCTGTATTAGCATCAATTGAATTCCAACTTTCTCTTAACAATTTTTCTTCTTCGATACTTATAAAAAAATTTATAATTAATGATAAAGTTTTACGTCAAAAAGAAAAAATTTCAAACTACTTACATATCACTTGATATTCTTGAAGAATGTTCTCCATAAACGTATCCAAGTGAAGTTCTTAACGCAAAATATTCTGAAATATGATCAGAATTAGTGGAATTAGGTGATCCAGGTGAATTGGAAGAACCGGACGATCCGGTTATTTGAGGTGATATTGGTGTACCAATAGAAGATATTGGGCTTGAAGCTTCTCTTAAGTTATTTATTTGTGAATTAATATTTAAACTCGTGTCAATTCTTAGATTTTGTGCATCAGAATCATTAACCATAATACGTGGGACTAAATTAAAAATAAAGAAATCAATTTAAATGTGAAATAAATTTTTAATTGAAAAAAGATAAAATATTATTATTATTAGTTTACCGTCAATACTTCCAACCATCTCACTCATTCTTTCACTCCTTAATCGTTCCTCTTTAATTGCTTTGAATTTTTTATGCCAATAAATTGTACGTAATAAAGATTTTACACGATCCTTATTTACGTTATCAATAACTTTTTCTAACTTTTCTTTACGTTTTATATACTCGTGAATCCTATATAGAAATATTATGGTAAATAATAACTTAAATAAAATCCGTATTCGGGATTTAAAAATATTTAATCAAATTGAACTCACTCTAAGCATTTATCATCATTAATTAACTTATAATGAGCAAGCATTATAAGCATACTAGTGAATGAAATTCCCTTTTCATTTCCATTTGAATCTTTTTCAACTGATAATAATGCTTCCTATAATTCACAAAAAAAAAAATAATTATTACTTTTAAAAATAAGTCTTATTGATTTTTTTTTTTTTACTTACTTGATATAATTGATTATAAATTTTTCTTCGCTTATACACTTGATTCAAATTAATCTTTGATAAACTATGTTCCAATTTTTTGATATCAAGATTTTCAACTTCAAGGTTACTTCTTTGCTTACTACTACCCCATAATTGCCCTGATTCTAAATTTTTAATAACACGAGTGTTTTTTATAAGGTTTGGAATAAGAAATTCATCTTGATAAATTCGTACTTGAAATGATCCTTCAAGTTTCTATGCAAAATAGAAGCAAATGTTAAAACAATATAGCTTATAAAAATTTATATTAAGATTTTAAATTTTACCGAAAAGAATTTTGAAATTTCATTGCTTTTTATATATCCAGTTCTATCAAAATCGACTGATTTCCAAGCTTCTTTGAATGTAAATAATTAAATATTTGTTAAGGAATAAATTTTTTTTTTAAAAAAAAAAAACACAATAAAGCAAAAGAATTGTAATATATATTTAGAAAAAAGGATATTGTCTAATTTCATCGCGGTTAACTAATGAAAATTGTGCAGCAATTTGATAACAATATGAAAAATTATCTGTAACCACCACAATAAACATATTCGCGAAAATATACATTGATAATACATTCCAACTTATGAATAATATATATGCCCACATTTCACTTCCACAATCTGAATTATACAAGTTGTTGCTTGCTACACATTCTGGCGGTTCAACTGAAAAATCATGCATAATTGCATTCCAGCCTTCTCTAAATTAATGACATTATTAAAAAGAAAACCACAAAAGTATTACTAATGATATAAAAAAGATATATTCGTACCCAGTTGACATTCTAATCAGTGTTATCATTGCGGTTGGGAACTGCCTAAAGTTTACATGTTCACCTCCACTTTTTCCATATTTTGTTAAACCAAATATTTCCATAAACATGATAGCATACACAACAAAAATGATAGACCAAACTGCAAATAAATTGAAAATTGATGGTAAACTTCCGCTAATAAAATAGGAATAGAATACCATAATACCATTAGTATTTACAATAATTTAATCAATCATTATTGCATGATTGGTCGATACTTACACCATATTTTTAAATAATTGATTCATCACATCGCTTTTCTGAAATAGTTTTAAGCAAATCAGCACTAAAAATATTTTTTGTAATTGAATCATTGCTTTATTTTCTTTCACTACCAAAATTGGGATTGTTGTTGCTGCAGCTCCAATAACCACGAGAAAATCAAATAAATTCCATTTATTTTGAAACACTTTCCATCCTAAACCAATGGCTTTGATAGAAAATTCCATCATATATATTATAATAAGAATAACAAAAAGGATTTCTACAAACATACATATGCATAAATAATGTTAATTAAATTATAAATAATAATAATAAAATATGCAGCAAATACCTCTAATTTTATCCCAAATTGGAGGAGCACTCTTTGCTTCAGTCATCAACAATAAGATATGCAAAATATAAATGACACTCATGGTTTTTGAAAGTATTCCTCGCTTTTCTGTAGCATAATCAAAACAAAGAGCTCTAAAATTATTACTGGGCCGTTTCTTTGGAATCTTTGAGGGCGTAATCTGTTTCAATAATTTCTTCAAATCAATCCATCGTTTCTGATCAGCGGTCAGATAGGCCGTACCAGATTTCGATTGATAATTAGAAATGATTACACTTATAAATAACGTCAAAATGAACACAGAGCCCGCAAGATTAAAAATCATAAAAAACAATGCATTCCACTTAGAATGATCTTGTTCCGAATTAAAATCTCGTCTCACAATGTTCATAGATGTTACCATGACATCTATCCATCCTTCTCCTGAAATAATTTCAAATAATATAAGTAAAGCCGATTTAAAGTTATCAAAATTATATCCAAAAGGATTAGCCCATACTCTTGGCATTAACACAGGAAAATTATAAATCTCATTCTCAAATTCATCTACGCATTGACTTTTTTCTATAATACCGTTTTCATTATTATCATTACAGGAAAAGAACAGTCCAGCAAAAATATTAACCCCATAAATTGCAAAAGGTATGACTAAACTTATAGAAAGCAAAGCGGCATCAATAATACGTGGAGCCCCCGCAATTAAAATAGAATAAAATGTATCTTTCACTGAGCTAGATAGATTAATCAATCGAAGTGCACGCAAAGCTTTAAATGCACGAACGGTTCTTGCAACGCCTCCAGTACTTGTTGCCGCAATTGAAATGTTAATGTAAAGTGTAATAAGCACAAAAAAATCTAATTGATTCCAAACATTAAGTAAATATGCATTTGGTGTTAAAAGAAATCCATCGGCAATTATTTTAATAAAGAATTCTACAGTAAAGATACCAGTAAATACAACATCTGTAATCCAAAACCATGTACTTCCTTTGTCACCATATTGGTTGAAATATTCCTTTTGATATGACAGATTCGCATATGCGGCAAGAATAACACTTGCAATAATACATAAATAGATGAATACACTGAATACAAAACTCCATGTTTGTGAGGGTGGTGTACCATAAACACGATCATCATGACTAGATTGAACAAGAAGTTGACAGAATCTTCGAAATCGATTACGAGGTGATAAAAACCAAAGTGATGCATCATAATTTGGGTGAGCGGCCAAGAAATCAGCTTTGATAGCTTGACGTTCTTGAAAATCATCTAAAAATGCTTCCATAGGTTTATCAATAGTAGGTTCACCAATGTCATTCGTTCCATGAACATCATCGAAATTTGAACCTCTTCTACTTCCAAGTAAAGGTGTTTTATTAATCTCTTCATTATAACCAAAATATCGTTTTAGACGAATTACAAAATTGGTTGAAGTTTTCTTATATTCATTCTCAATAAAATTCTTTTTTTCGGTAAAATTATCACTATCTGTCAAAAAATCCCTTACTCGGCTTTTTTGTGTATGCAAGATCAAATTAGATGGGATACTTTCTACAGCTAAAGCTTTTGGCTTGGCCTGGAAATATTTATAAAAATTCCACCTATCAATAACATCATCTTTCTTTTCAGTTGAATCAACATTACGTTTAAATTTTTGCAGCTGTATTTTATGTTTTTGTTCTTCGGCAATCTCAAAATTCTCCTGCAAGACAGCAATGAACATAGTCAACAGAATAACTATGATATTTTAAATAAAATTACAATATATAAGCATACATATATAAAATTAGAATTAGAATTAAGCTTAAGACTTACAGTTTGATAAGAATACATATATAATTAAGAATATAACAGCTATTATGGCAGTGCCATTACTTCCTTTTTCAGATTCAAACTGCATCGTATCATATAATACATTTGTCCAATCTTCGCCTGAAAATAACTGATACAAAAAATGAATCATAAAAAAATCGATACAAAAAAAATATATAGCAAAAAAAAAAAAAAAAAAAAAATTCAGAATTACCTGATTTAGGGCCAAAAAACTATTAAAAATATCACTAAATCTCATTACTTTTTCGTTTGGAATAGACCCTCTTAACAATTGCACTCCCTATAAATATTAAACTTTTGTTAAGACAAAGATTTCTTCAAAATTAATAATCCCATACGTTCATTGTTTGATACTTACAATTATGGCGGAAATGAAATTAACGATGAAAATAAACAACACTAGATTTGCAAATCCTGCTACGCTTCCTAAAACTCTGACCTGAATTCAATTTATAATTATTGGAAATAAACATATGTTTTTAAAGTAATAAATATATAAATAAATTTTGGGAACTTACCAATAAATTTCTTAATCTAGGAATTGCAATAATAACTCTATAAACTCTAAGAATTTGAAATAGAGTTAAATAAGGATAAGCTTCAGTTTCTTTAATAAAAGGTAATTGTATAATACATGTTACAATAGATAATGTAAAATCAACAATATTCTTTGTAGATTGGAAAAATAAGTGATATTTTGGCAAATATGAAAATAATCTCAAAGCGATTTCAATCGCAAATACTATTGTAAAAATTAGTTCAGCTCGATCTAAAAGATGAAGAAATTAAATATATATATTTAATTGAAATATAACAAAATACTTATAATATGAATGAATAAATTACCCAAAATAATCTCTTTTTGAGGAGGCATAATAGAAGTTCGAAATGCCATTATAAATAAATCAACAAATATTAAAAAAACCCAAACATATTTGGTCTCGTCCATTCTACGAGTTAACCAACTTGTTTTTGTTGTCTGTCTTATATCTTGTAATGTCCAACCCTCCATATCATCAGATAAAACCGGTGTCGATCTTTAAATAAATTAAATAAAATAAAATTTTAATAAAAATCAAAATGTCATTCATACGACCAAAATTATGTATATATCTATTTATTTACTTGGACAGGGTGAAAGCAGAATGTGATGAATCTTCTCGAATTTTTGCAAACATTTTCGTAATCACAGCCACAAATAAATTAATTAACCAAAAATTTAAAATGATTACAGTCATGATAAAAAATACGCTCACGAAATCAAACTCTGAATCCATCACATTATACATAAGTTCTGTCCAATTTTGAACTAAAAGATTTAATAAAATATTTTTTTTTTTTAGTTAGAAAATCATACTCGATTTTAGATGATAAACATATTTACGAAATAAAACTTACTTGTTGAAATAACAAAAACTAAAATCAAGGAAAAAAATACATTATCAAAAGATGCCAATCCGCCATGAGGATTTCCGACTTCCTCGCACATTTGACCAACGGGACAAATAAATCCTTTTCCACCAGGAGCAAATGAACCAGCTACTCTTGTTACTCCATCTTTGTCTATCCAACCTCCGCAATATTGATCATCATGTACAAAAGTATTTGATGAATTATTTATATCTATCCACACACATCTCCTAGAAAGTGATCCTTTAAATGATTGTACCCCAATTATACTTAATAATATAGAGAAAAATCCAATAAATGATGTCACATTAACCAACAACGGGGCGCTCTTTTTCAATGATTGCAGGATTGTGGCACTACCACTTGTAATAGCCAATAATCTGAAACTTCTTAAGGTTGAAGTTGCTTTAAATAAGAAGAAATGGTTAACTCCCAATAAAGTAATTAGCAAATCAATCCAATAAGATACTACTGCAAATAAATCAATTCTGTTAAAAGTATGTCTAAGGAAGGCAGTATTCATTGCAGACTTGTGTGCTATTACTCTTGAAACATATTGGTTTGAGGACTGTGAAAATTGTAAATCCATTGACGTTTCTCTCACATCATGCTTTGAACCATTTGGTGATATAGACGGAGAATCTTTTGCTTTTTTAAATGGTGTCGTCTCTTGATTTATTAACAATCCTGATACTATAATACGTGCCAAAATTTCCAACCTAGAATAATAAATATCATAATTGACATATAAGTGAATATATCAAAAAAACTTAAGATTATCAACTTCTCTTACGTGTATATTGTATAAATTACTAATAGAGCATAGTCAATTCCTGATGATCCCCATTTTGTTCTACGCGGATTACTTTCTGTAACAGGGTCCCATGCATCGATAATTAATAACAAAATATTTGCTATTATGAGACCTAAAATTATTGATTCCGCCCATCTAATAAGATATCAAAGGGAAGAGGAAAGTAAAAAACCCAACGTTACGCAATAGATTTATTAATATAATATTACCTTACCGATGATTTAAAATTTCATATAAAGTGAGTCTGATTGGATTTGACGGTCCGAACATGTATAAAGAATTTCCTTCCAATGGAGATTGTGACTGTAATGTCTGAGCCAAACGAAGGTTACTACCATTAGATTGTCCTAATGAGGAATTCCTTGATTTATCTTGCGAAGGATAATTATCATCGGAAATAGAACCATTTTTATCAGGAAAACGATTACTTTTCCAACTTTTACGAATTGTAGATCTGGGTTGAACATTAAAGTCCACTTCTTCTTTTTCAAGTTGATCTTGTGAAGTATTAGACATATTTACAACACGGGTGGAAGCTCTTGCGAGTATATGACTCATTCTACTAAGACTTTTGGTATGCCTTAATTTGACTCGATTATTAGAATTCTTTCCGTACGATTCTTGAATTTCATTCGAAGATGATGACGCAATTGGCAAAGAAGTAGAAGAAGCAGAATGATCTAATAGTTGATCCACACGATTTTTTGTTAGTTTTGCCGTATCACTATCGTCGATATGATCAAATTCATCATCATCATCTTCATGATATCTTAATTCTAACTCACTAGTAAAACTTTCACGTCTTGGTACATCTGACATCTCAACCACATCATCATTGTGTAACATGTTGTTTCTTCTCCTATTCAAAAATGAAGGCATCCGAATTGGTTGTGAAGTTATTGGAGATTCATGAGCAAGAAAATCAACATCACGAAATAATTGATTTGAAGGATCTATAAATGTTCTTGAAGATACTAATGAAGGCCTTGTAGTGGGTGAGTTGTAATTGTGACCTAATGTACGACTTCGATTTAAATTAATTTCTCGTCCGTTATTATTATTATTATTATTATTATTATTATTGGTAGTATTATGATATCGAATTAAATCATGTGAAGAAGATATTGACCTGGATCTTCTACGAATTCCAAGGTCTATTGTTGGTAAAGAAATTGGTGAAACTGTGTTTGAACGTCCACGATAATTATTATTATTTGTATGAGGAAATGAGGATTGCGTGTTACTTGGTTCGTCAATTGCGGACAGAGGAACTAATGGAACATCAGCTTGGATGTCATTACCTTCCATACGAAAGAAATTGACACAAAATAAACAAGTTTTTATTTTTTTTGAAAATAAATTTTGGTAATAATTAACGAGTGTAAAGTTATGTCAAAAAAAATCTGCTCCAGGGTCATGTTTTAAACTGTTATGAAAATCATAACTGAATTGTAGCACTAATTTCAGGTTAAAACACTTCAATACTATTTATAGCAAAAGCAATTTCCCGTCAATTATCCTGGTACCATTGATGAGCAAATTGATATGATTGGTGAAATCATTTGACCAATCAAATCTTACTATAAATAAGGGTTGATAAAAAAATTTTCGAAATCCTCCTCTCTAAACATCCCTTTTATTTAAAAATGGTAAGTTAAATTATTTCATCCATTAAAACATTGGTAAAGAAATTAAAGCAACCTTATCATTGACTCTTTAATGGATTAATAAAGGCATCAGAAAAAATAAAAAATTAGATCAAAATTTTGTCACGATTATCAAAGAGTGGGGTCGATATGAAATTGCAAAGAAAATATAACAAAAAATTCTTTATTTGAGCGAATATATTCAACTAATTCATAACCATCGATACTATAGACAAAGGGTACCTCAAGTTTCGGTAAACGTCACACAAAAACCCACACTTTATGCCGCCGTTGTGGAAGGCGTGCCTTTCATAATCAAAAGAAAACCTGTGCACAGTGCGGATATCCCTCCGCAAAGACGAGAAGCTGTTAGTAAATTTATTTTTATTGAAAAGATAAATTTATTTTCGTATTTTGCATCATCGTTTAGATCAAATTCAAATTATCTCTCATTTTTTTTTTTTTTTAAAAAAAAAAATGTGTCTTAGATAACTGGAGCGAAAAAGGCAAACGCAGAAAGACAACAGGTACCGGTAGAATGCGGTATTTAAGACATGTCTCGCGACGTTTTAAGAATGGTTTTCGTGAAAGTAAATGATTTTTCTCAATTGCGTTGTTAATTGTATGATAGTTACCAAAGGTTTACAAAAAGTTATTCTAACAAATTTTATAATATATAGACACTCAAGCAAAGAAAGCCATCAAATAAATAACAAATGTATTTGGATTTCTAGTATTATTACAATTAAAGTTATGATTAACTAAAATATTTATAATTTTTAAAGTTTATCAATGATCTTTACATAAGTTAATGAAAAATACCTGATGATTTAATGTAATTAAACTTGTAAATTATAAAAGAAAATATTTACCTTGATTAAAGTCACAACTGTGATTGTTCTACTAAATGAGTAAGGGAACATATGATTAAAGTTTGTAACGTTGGACTTGAATTCTTGCAAAGTTTGAGAAGGATGCATTATTTGAGGGAGTATTGGATGATAAAGGTAGATCGATGAACGCACTCATTCGAAAAAAATAACGAGATTTCGTTTCCGTTAAGAATGAATTTTCTGTAAAAGCCCGTTAGATAAATGTCATGTGATTCATTAATCTAACACGCATTCTAGTACTTTTCCATATATGATAATTCTAACTCTAAATAAGATTTTTTAAGATCTGCATTTATACAAAAATTACAATTTAAATTACTGTAATTTAAAATATACGTATTTAAACTTTTTAGTTCCGCATATTATTATTAAAAGTCATGTTCGAACAGTTCAAAAAATTATCCTCAGCTATAAGCTTTAAAGACCTTATTGATACAACCGGGTAGGTGTTTATTTTCAAGTTATTTGGTTATATGCTCTTAATGTTTCGGGCGAAACCGTTTTTATGATCGGAGAAACGTCTCACCTTTTAGAGATCCTAAACCCTATACATGTTACCTTACCTTCCGAGACTTTCAAATTTCGGTTTCGCTCATTCAAATTAATTCTTTTTATTATTTTTGTCTGTTTGGTCGATTTTAAATTCGCAGCCTTAATGAAGGTGAATTCAAAAATTTTACCAGAGAAGGGTATATCTTTTTTTTTTTTAAAAAAAAAAAAAATTATTGATCCCTCGCACTTTATACATAAGATTGAATTTAATTATAGGGCCTTATTAAATTTTAATTAAAAGACTTCAGGTTGTTCGTAGCGAATGGGAAAATATACGTACAAAATCAGCCGAGATTCTTACCCCAGCATTGAGTCCGCGAATAGGCGCGTTATCACCAAGGCTACCTACGATCGGTAGTTCAAGGTTCTACAATTTTAAATTATTTACTTTATTTACTTTCAATTTCGATTCTTTTTTTTTTCACCCCCATTGGTATTGATGTTGCTTTATATCATATTATTAGCAAATCACGTGCCATAACAAGACTAGATATACCGGCAACTACTGAACTTGCAATAAGGTAATTTATTTTATGATTTCCTGCATTACTATATGTGTTTAACGACCTTTATTCAATGCTTTAGATACGAGAATGAGTTAAATGTAATAAAAACTGCGAATGAAAATAATTTTCGTAACTCTGCTGTAAGTCAAGTTATTTAACTTAATAGCTCATTATTTATATTTTTTATTAATTTACTTTTGAAATGATTTTGTTTTAGTTAATTGATGAACTTGTGCAGCAAATGTTGAAAAAATGTGAGAATCATTATCAAACATGCGAGCTAGTCAAATCAGAAACGAGCCAATTACCTAAGGTAAAAGAGGTGATTGATGAAATGACTTATTCTGCAAGTAAGATACTCTCTTCACTCACTCTTTCTAATATGAGAAAGTCTCAATGATCAAATTTTTTTTTTAAATTTTTTTTTAAAAAAAAAAGTTTCACTAAAAGGAAAACTGACCGAATTGGAGAAAATGATAGATGATTATGCAAAAATGAATGAAGAGAAATCTTTTGAAGATTGGAAAAAATCCGAACTTCTTGCACTTAATAAACATTTTGAGGAAAAAAAGTAATTATTCATGTAAAATTTACAATAATATTTTTTTAAATATTTTATTCATCAAATTATTTTGTTTATTAAGTGCGGAATTAGACGAAAAGAAAATTATGTATCAACAACATTACGAGGAATTTAAAGATAATCATACAAGTGAAAAAGTGCAATCATATCAGGCTGATTTTGAAATACAAATGGAAAATTATAGGAAGCGGATAATAACTACTACTGTATTATGTAATGGTAGGTTTTGTTTCACACTTAACTTTAGGACGTTTTCCAAAATTTTATTAAATATAATTTATTTCTTAGAACATTCGACAAATATATCAGATGAAGATTTGATAGCCAGTTTAGAACAAGTTGAATTGGAAACTGAAGATGATCGAGAGGCGTTAGAAAACTTTCTTGGCGCTGAAGATAATATTGAACAATAACGATTAAAAAATAAACCCCATTAAGTATAAATCGGAATGGTCACCCATTTCTTAGAACTTTGCTTCAAGGGCCAAACATTTACCTGACGAGCAACTCTTAAATCCCAATTTGATTTATTACTAATTTATATGAATCAATTTAATTTACATCACAAGAAATTCTTCCCTTTTATCACATGCTTTGTGAAATGTAGAAATTGTCCAAGGTATGGTTAAATTTTGTAAATTTTTTGTTTCTTATATTATAAAATCAAAAGGATTATATGTCAACACCTTATTTACCAATATAACTGGTGGAATTTGACGACTTCACGACCAAAAGTTTTGATTTTTGACTGATGTTCGCAATAAAGTATCTTTGGAAGTAAGGGATGTCCGATTTTTACGTCAGGTTGATTTATTTATTTTTTTTTTTTTTGAGAGTCTGAGAAACAGCATTTAAAAACTCGGTAATTTTTCCTTCGTTCAATTAAATTATTTTCATATTATACCAAAGGAGGACTTATTATGTTATAGTATAGCAACTATAAAGGATATGCAGATGTGATTTTCTTTTTAAGAAAACATAACAGGAAGATAAAAATAAAGAGAATGATTAATAAATGATTTTTATACCATGAATTATTCAGGATATTTATTTATTTTATTGTAAAAATAAAAATATTATATTATAAGAATATCTTAAAATACAATCAATTAATTGTCAATGTGACAATTCTAAAAGAAATATTAATATTTGATTCAAAAGTTGCTTTTAAACTTTACATTCATTTTAAATAATAATATTTTGAATAAAGGTTATTATTTTTTAGTGACTATAAAAATTTTTTTTTTTATTTAATGATAATTTTTTCCAAGAATTCCCTTTTGTTAATATATTTAATTAAGTATAATATTTTATATTAGTGTGTTTGCGGAAATTATTATAAAAATCATATACTGTGTGCAAAAAAAAATTTTTAGTGCGGAATTTTCATTTATATATATATAAATTGAATGATTTGTGCGGAAATTTTTGTCATTGCTAAAATCACACCACTGTTTGTCAATTAAAATTTGATTCGACATAGTTAAAATCGTATGATGACATCAATGTAACGTTTGATTTTATTCAAAACCACCGTCTTTTATTTTTCACTTAGATTCGAATAAAAGATCAAGTATAAACTTAAACAAGAATTTGTAAAATCCATTAAATATGGAACAAATAAAACTAACAACTATTTCAGCAAGACATTCAGAAGGAGATTCTGATGAGGAGTTCGCATCGCTTCCACCTTCCTTATCAACACTAACCGTAAGTGAGCATTCCGAGACGATAGACGACAAAGAATGGCTTCTTAAAAATAAGCATATTTCTGCCGAAGGTTTTTCTCGAAGAAGTGGAGAACATGCAGGGGAGGAATTATGTGGTCTAGTTCCTGAAAGTCGAAGAGGGAATTTGAAATATGATAATTCGGAATATATATTAAAAATGTGCGCGATGGCTTGTGCGTGTACGTTTGGTGTCGGAAGTCATTTTGCTTCACATATTATTGGACCTATGAAGGGGATATTAATGGAGGTATTGTATCTACTGTACGTACAAACCTAATTTTTAAGTTTTGCTAATAATTTTTGACATAAAATCTAATATTTGGTTATTTTTACCTGGCTCATTATTTATTGAAAAAGCAACTTGATCTCACGAATACTCAATTCTCACTATTGATCGCATCAATTACTCTATGTAATACGGTGATACCAATAGTTTCAGGTCTTCTTGTAGCAAAATTTGGAACTACTCGTAGCTCTTTAGTTATAACATCAATAATATTATTGGGTATGATTATTTTCACTGCCGCAAGTTGGGATGGTAAAGTTGGATTTATGATGGTTGGATTTACCGTTTTCGGGTAAGAAATAATTCTTTTATGCCTATATCAAAGGAGTTTCCCCATTAAAATTAAATATATTCATTATATCTAGCATGGGTTTGGCACCTTTAACAATCGTTCAAGAAACAATTATTGTCCAATTCTTTCAAGGGAAAGGATTGGGATTTGCCTTAGCAGTCGGATTAACATTAGGGAGATTAGTAAGTCTGATGTCCCTTGAGTACAGGCTTAGGGATTACACCTCACACATTACATCCCCATCCTTCCTTATTTTTAATATCATTAATTTATTTATCATTCGAGTATATCAAAAAGTAAGGATAATATATTTATACCATTCATTTGTTTATAGGCCTCATTTGTTGCTACCGTGCTAGCCGTTCCATTATCCTTAATGGAGCCACTTAAATATCGTACACCTTTCATAGTGGCTACTATCACATGTGCAATGTCATGGATTATGAACATTGTATACGTGTTTTTATTAAAACACGCTGACAATAGGAAAAATCATAGGAGGGAAGGCATTGCAATTCATTCGGTGGTGGAAAAGAAGACTGTTCATTGGAATGCTATATTTGATTTGTCGGATATTTTTTGGTTTTTTTTGGTTGTGGGAATTCTATTTGGAGCTGCAATTTCTCCTTTCCTTCATCTATCAAGGTCAGTATATATATATATATATACTATATATATACTATATTTACTTTTCTTATTTTTTTTTTTTTTTAAAAAAAAAATTTAATTATTTTTTGAATGCAGTAACATCATTAAACATCGATTTGACACAACGGATATGTTTGCCGCGTGGGATTCTTCTATAATATTATTACTACCAGTAATTTTATACCCTTTTTTGGGATTGTTCTTGGATAAATATGGTTTTAGGTTGTGGATATGTAAGCTCGTGATTGTTTATGTTCTAGAATAATATATATATATATATATTTTTTCTAATTATTTTTATATGATCTTTAGTAATATTTGGATCGGCAGGCATAACTATAACCTATTTATTATTACTTTTACCGCCACATATGATACATCCATTTCCACCTTTATTCATTTTCGCTGTGGCTTTCGCAGCAGTTCCACTTACCATGGTCACCCTCATTCCAATGCTCACAAAACATGTTTCCACTGGTCTCGGACTTCTTAAAAGTGTGGATAATATTGGTGCGACTCTTTGTCAAACTTTTGCTGGATTATTGCTAGATGAGCATAAAAGACGTAAAAAATACATAATTGATGATAAAGGTATAGAGTATGGTCATGAGGATGATGATCTGGTGGCTTTAAGGATGTTTGCCATCTTAGGTGGTATTTTGTTCTTGGTCTCTTTAATATTTTGGTGGATGGATAAAACATATAAGAGAGGAATTTTAAATACTAAATATGAAGGTGATTATAATCATGATCATGATGATACGAGTTCTAATAATTATGGACAACTAAGAAATGAAGATGATGATGAGTTAAATGGCGAGGAAATTATTTGTATGGAAGAAGAAACATCATTTGTTAAAGTTGAATATAACGAGAAAAGGAAAAAGACTATTGTTTATATGAGTATTTTATGTGTGATGTTGATCATATGTTGGACTGTTTTTGGAGTCGTCGCATTCGAAAAAGCTGGAATAAGTGCATCATCGGAATAATAATATTTGAAAAAGACATTTTAAGTTTCAATTTCATTTTTTTTTTGTTTTTGTTTTTGTTTTTTTTTTTTAATTTATAGTTTTATGAATCCCCGAGATTCAGTTAATTTCTGTATTATAAAAAACAAAAAAAAAAAATTATTTATTATATATAGACTTATTATTACAATCAATATACATTTCATGTTTAATATGGATATAATTCCTATCATTTTTTATATAACTATACGGAGTACACCACAAGATTATAATTATAATACTTATTCCAGGAAGAATTTGTTAATGAAACAGTTTCATGGATGCTATGTTAGATTCGATTCTAATGGGTCAGGATTTAAGAATCGAATTTACTGGATGGTATCGCAGCATTGAGATCTATATTAACATTAGTCAGAAATGTTCGATAACTTCTGCTGAGGGATATATTTCAAGATATAAATTTTACTTATATTCTTTTTCACGTTCATTTATAGTTTTTAATACTTAGTAAATTTTTTTTTCCAGTCGCAAAGCGTTATGAAATAATTTCGATTGGGCGGTTTTTTGAATAGTGAATCCAGTAATAATATATCAATATATGTAAAATCTATTTCTACATCATATTTTGAATTTCATGTGACGAAGTACAATCAATGAGACCAATTTCTTAATTTTTTTATTTGCAGATCATTACAAGAGATAGATCTTTATAATTAATCTTTTTTTTTTTTTTTTTTTGTAAAAAAAAAAAATTTTCTGTAACTATATATTATCAGTAATTTATTCTAAATGTCAAGAATATTTACTTAATAAATCGCTATAATAGATAAAGGTTTTTGATTGTAAGGATAGAAAAGATTTGATATTAATCTTCAAAATCCAATATTAAATAAATAGGTTGATTATTAATGTATGTATAATAATATATAGCTTCAATAAAGATACATTTCATTCTCTTAAGATATTATTAATAGTTTAAATGTAAGTTGATATTAAAAAAAATATGTTCCTATAGCTGTTATAGTAAAAAAAGAAAAGATCATAAAATTATTTGATATAATAGAAGTAAGTTTAGTAAATTTTTATAATAGCATAGATATTTGTTTATAATTATTAGTAAAATTCAAATAATTAATTTTATTAATTAGTGATTTATTATTTTACTAAAGCAATCAAGTTAGATATAATCTTTTTTTTCAATATTATTAGTAATATAAGTAAAGTATAATTAATTAATTATTATATTTATTAAATTAATACCTATAATATCAACAATTATAATACATAATATTATTGTTAAGATTTATTATATTAAAAATAATTGAGGTAAAAAAATTATATAATTAAATACAATTTTAAAAAATATATTTAATTTGTTTATAATAAATAAAGTAATTATTTTAAATGTTACTTTAATTATTATAGTTAAGTTTTTAAATTATTGAATTAAAAAATTATTATTTTATATTATTCTAAATAAGTTTTATTAAGAATTTTAAATATTATTAAAATTAAAAAAAAAAAAATTTAATTTTAATTTTTTTTTTAGATATTCAAATAAAGTAATTTTTTTTAAAAGAATTATTTTAATAGAATAAGCATATTAATTAGGATTTGCAATAAAAAGAAGAAAACAATTAGAAAAAATAAAATATAAGAATGTTAAATCTAAATATAATTTGACTTAAAAATCATATTTAACATATAAAAATAAAATTGATTTTTCTAATAATTTTTCTTCTTTTTATTATAAAAATTTCAATTATGTTTTTTAAAATTATAATAAAAATTATAATATAAATTTAAAATATAATCTTTATAAAATTTGTTTATTATAATTTAAATTAATTTTAGTTATAAAATTCTTTATAGATATTTAAAATATTATTTATACAGTTGTACCTCTATATAATCACCCCTATATAAGCACAACCTCTATATAGTCAACAAGTTTTTTGCGCTGAAATTTTTAATTAAAGAAATGACCTTTATTTAGTCACAATAGGGTTATAATCACAATCACATCAAATACGTGCACTCAAACATTACAAATAACCTCTATATAATCATATCACATGATTTAATTAGAAAATATAAATAGCTAAATTTGGTCACAAAAAAATATTGGGAAAAATGTTTAAATTTCTTCTCCGTATTCCCTGTATAGTTATATAGTCGATAAAAATGTCATTAAAAAATATGTCAGTTTGGTCACGCATTTTTTTTAGTAATGAATTTTGTTAACTTTTAAAATAAACTTTTCATTTGGTGAAAATATCAAAAGTACTATCAAAAGCGCTGCTATCTTACCTAAAGTACCACTAAAGAACCACCAAAAATCACTTACCACCTATTTTAAAATGCCAGTTATTCCAAGTCCAAAAAGATCACGTTCTGCAATAAGTGATAATATAAAGCAACAAATATGTATATATTTTACAAAACCTGAAAATAAAAATAAAAGTCAACAACAAATTGCTGACTATTTTAACCAGCAAAATCAGAATCTTCATATTGACCGTTCAACAGTTTCCAAAATTTTAGGAAAGAAAGCTAAGTGGCTTGCAATTACTTCAATACTAGCTAGCTTTAAAACTTTTCGTCATAGAGAAGTTAAATATCCTCAAATTGAAATGGCATTAGGTTTATGGGTTAAAAATGCAAATGCTAATAATCTTGCAGTTTCAGAAATGTTACTTAAGGAAAAGGCTTTTTTTTACACAAGAGCTAATATTTCACGCAACAAGATATCTTTTTCAAATGATTGGATAGAAAAGTTCAAAAAATAGAATAATATTCATAGCTATCGCTTATATGATGAAGTAAATAATGCACTGTTAGAAATTCTTTCTGAGAAAAGAAAAAAATTACAAGAAATTTTGCAAGACTACACACTTGACAATATATTCAATGCTGATGAAACTGGTCTTTTTTTTCGTATGGCACTTAATAAAACTCTTGCATCAGCTTCCACTTCAGGAACAAAACAGGTAACTCAATCATTTACTTTGAATTGAAGTTTTATTATTGTTTTTTTTTAAGTTTTAAAAATTTTTTTCACAAATTTTTTAGGATAAATCTTGTATTATCGTTCTTTTGACTACAAATGTTATTGGTACACAAAACTTAAACTACTTGTAATCAGTTTCTCAAAAAATCCTAGATGTCTCTACCAAATCAATAGAAATTCCCTTCCATGCAATTATTATGTTAATTCAAAGGCATAGATGAGAAGTGATATTTTTGGTGAATGGCTTGAATATATTAATATTATATTTCAAGCATAAAATCGAAAAATATTATTACTTATAGATAATGCATTATCTTACTTCAATCCTGATAAGGATAATAATCAAGAAATTGAAGAAAGTGGTAATTTGAATTTATCACATATTAGAGTACATTTTCTTCCACCTAACACAATGGCTCATTTGCAATCTATAGATGCTGGAATTATTAAAAGCTTTAAAGCAATTTATAAGCAACATTATATACGACATATTCTTCATCAATTTGAAGCAAATGTTGATTTAAAAAAGTAAGTATTTAATTTAATGTATTTATTATATTGATTTCTTAAATACTATATTTATTTAATAAAAAAACAAATTGTTTTTAGAAATAAAATTAATGTTAAAGAAGCTATGGAATATGTTGCAAAAGCTTGGGATTTAGTAACAGCAGAGATAATTACTAATTGTTGGTGAAAAACTGGGATTTTACTAACCATTAATAATGATGATATTAATGATATTAATGATAATGATGATATTCAACAAAATGAATTAGCAATTCAAGAAAATCAAAAGATTATTGAAGTTCTTTTGCAAAGATTTTCGTCTATTCAAGATAAATCTTTTTTATTAGAATTGAATAAATATTTAGAAACAATTGACTTGACAATTTCAACAGAGCAAGCACTAACCGATATTGAAATTATAAGTTTGGTTTTGGATGAAGAACGTAATAAAGTTGAATTAAATAATAGCAAATCTGGCAATGAAAGTTTGGCAATAACAACACAAGAAGGCTTTAACGGACTTAAAACATGGATCCAATATTTTGAAGAGCAAGATGACAAAGAATTTAATATGAAGGAAATGCATATTTTTAGAAAATATATGGATATTATGTGACAGAAGCTTGTAGAAAGTAAAAAACAAAAAACTATTACAAGTTTTTTATGCCAGTTGATATACAAGAGGTAAATTGATTTTTTGTAATTGCATTATTCGTTTCAATTTATCTGTATGCTTCTTATTCTCAATAGTCTATCAGTTTCATATGTTTTACATAATCTAATAAAAAAAAAAATACATAGAAGTGGTTAACCTCTATACAAACAATTCTATGTGATCTCAATAAATATGACTATATGGAGGTTTCCTCTATACAGTCACATATCAATATAAGCACACCATTTTTGTGCGTCCAACTGCGTGACTATATAGAGGTACGACTGTATGCCTTATTTTCTCGTTCACGGCAGATATCACAAGAATGTGAATATGCTTATCAAACATAGAAGGATCTTCAGCAAAATAATCGCTAATCTTATCCTCCGATTTCATATCCCTATATGTTTTTGTCTCACAATCGATTTCGCGTAGAGAAAAAGAAGCATTTCTGAATTTCTCATCCAAGTGATATTTTTGGATTTCAGATTCTAATGCGGTAACTGGTGCATCCTTTTCAATACTAATACCAATTACTTGACATCGATCATATCCGAAAAATGTGCCAGTAGGGATAACAAGGAAAGCAACACGAATTAATTTGCTCATTTTCTATTACTGAAAAAATTTGCAGATAGGAATATTAAGATATCAGTCCGCAATAGGAACTTTTTATATACAGAATAAATCAGGGGTTGGGATATTGAGAAAATACATCCTGATATGTATTGTTTTTCAGGTGTCCGTCGCGTTTTAATATTATACGAACCTTTGGTTACAAGTGTTACGCAATCTTTGTTTTTTAGTACATTTCAGGGGATTGTTTTTTTTTCAGGTGAAATAATACAGCCCATATTGGATCATCTGGGTTGATTGCTAGGAAAATCAGGTTCCGGGAATTTTTTAGCAAAATTGAGATTTTTATTGCATTTTAGTTTTTGATGTTATTAGATTAAAATGTATTAAGCTCTTTATTTTAGTCAAAAATTTCTCAGAACCTGATTTTCCTAGAAACACTCCCATCTAGTATTATGAATTTTTGGCTTGACATATGCTATTTTTCTTGGCGTATCGCACAAATATTTATATATAATTCCGCGCAGTTCGATCAACATGTATCGGCTAAATTAGACCTGAACTCGGCTAAATTGCCCTGCATATCAGACCTAACGTATATGTTAAAACTATTCGATCATCCCATATAAATACGTCATGCGAAGCGCCTCTGGCTAATCCCGAGAGATCTACAAACCGATTTATTAATCTTGATCGCCCCCCTTAACGTAATTTATAAAAATGCGTTTCGTACTTTACAAGTGATATTGATATTTATTAATTTTTATTAATCACACTTACAGTCAAGTAAATGTTTATTTGTTACTATCTATAAAAATCACTCTTGATCCGGCTCATTATAATTAATAAAAATATTAATCGTTTCAGCGCTTTGAGAAAATGAGGGAGTCACGGGTCTAGAATCAGAAGAAGTGGTCTTGATAGAGAGGGTGTTGTTAGACACGATCTATTAGGAGAAAGAATTGCTCGAGGAATTTTTGAAGTAGTTCTAGATCCTGAGGCAGTTGGGGATGATGGTATTGGTCTTGGGATTCTTGATGGTTGTCTTCTATTCGGCATGTTAGATGATGTTGTTCCTACATTAGCTACATTGGGACGTTGTGTTCCTAGAAACAATAAGCATTTTAGGGTATATCTTTTCATATACATGACTGGAAGAAGAATATCACAAAATAAATACCGGGTTCTTTCCGCGTAGAGAACTCTTCGTAATAATGTTCTCCAATAAAACTTCTCTTCTTCTTTTTAACCCTCGCCTCCGTCTGATCAGGTTACACCAACCAATAAAATTCGCGATCAAAAAAGCCGATTGAACTGGCCTCATTTTTCTCAACTTTTACGTAGAAAATGAATGACGAGTATTTTCCAGGATACAAAGGTATTTTTTAATTATCTAAGCGATTCGATTATTAATATTGTTTTGGATCTAACCGATTTTTTTTAGCTATTTCATCTTATCTTAAAAAATACGAAGATCCAACTTATCGAAATTTTTTATATCTCAATCGAGATGTGATGATTAATTCACCCCCATTTACTGATGATTGGAGTGGTCTCGATAGCGCTTGGTCAAATCGTTTTATGAGAGCCATACAAACTCATGTTCCAGACAAGTTTGAAGAAATAAAAAAGAAAGTTTCTTTTTCTCTGTTTATCTTTAGTTTTGCATAATTGCGCTTCTTAATGGTCAACGTGCTGTTCAAGAAGTATCTGGTCAACGTGCTGGGCAAGTAATGGGATAGCGCTCCTGAATGGTCAACGTGCTGTTCAAGAGTATTTGGTCAACGTGCTGAGCTTCCCTATTGCTCCGCCTATAATATTTTTTATCACTCACACTTTACAATTACTCACATCCTTCCACCTTTACATCTACAAAAGGTTAAAGCTGAATGTCGAAACGGTGGATTAAAATTATATTGGGACGAAATTATACGTGAAAAGGAGAAGGTAGTTAAACCTTATTTACCATTACCTTAATTTCTTACTAACTTCATTCTGTTAAAAAAAAGATCTCGGTTAAGGAAATACATCTTACTGGCAGTCTCAAATTACTAGGTGCCTCTGGAAAGAGAAATATTCAAGAGTTATTAACTGATGGGACTATATTACCAATACAAGACGAAGAAGATCCTCCAAAGGTAGATATTATTAGTGTTTTTAAGTTAGGAAACGATGTATACTTCCTATATACATATTTCTGTATATATCAGGCCAGGACTAATTCTACGTCTCATTTGTCTCATTGTATCTTAATGATATGGTACAGACAAAAACGTTTAATTACTTATTTGGCGAATTTACTGACTCCGGCGAGACTACATGTCCTTCCCCTTCCATGTCTTCTCAATTCAGGTAAATTGTATTTGTGTTAGTGTTTAGCATGAAAAAAGTTGTTTCCTTATACTTTCTGGAATTATGCACAGCCAGAAACCGATGTTTCTGTGAACGAAGAAGATTCGGAAACAAGTAACTTGGATACATCAGATCACGAGGTAATTGCATCTGGCAGGTGTTATTAGCCGTAAATATTTATTATTCTCACTACTATCTGTCTTGTGAAGGAGACGGATGATGAAAAGGAGGTGGAGACGGCCAACAATAAAGAGGCGAAAGAAAATAAAGTAAATATTCATTAGAATTTTTAGCTTTTAGGTTTTTTTTAGACAATAATGAGAATTTCCGTTTAGACTGGACCATTCATGCTAAGAAAGGAACACCGACAGATGATTGAACAAACATACAACAACATGAAAAAAGAGAGAATGTGGAAACTCTCAACGGAAAGATTTGTCGAAGAAGAATTGTTCAAATTAGGGAAAAAATTAAAATATGAGCAGTTAGTGTTTATATACTTTATTAATCTGCTGTAATTATGTTATGCAAGATGGTTTACTGAATTGAAAGTTTTTTATCTCCTAGCGCTATTCATTCTTTCATTCTAGATGTCAGTGATGAGACAATTAAACTGCATTTCAGTAAGGAAGAACGTGATGAAATCGATTCCGCACCCGGTCCACAGGTGCCTGATATTTCGGATGAAATAAATGAATTTCTGATGGAGTTCCTTGACAAGGTAATAATTAATTTACATGCTATTGACAAAAATGTATCACAACAAGTCATCAATCTTCTTTCCTGATGTAGTCGACATTGAAAGATATTCGAAAGGTTATAAAAGAAACGATGTTTGATGATAATTATGACCGCGAAAAAGATCACGATAAGGATTACATTATTTATGCTATATATTCATTGTAAGTATTTCGGTTCTTACGACTGGCTTGCACATTCATATGTTGAATTGGCTAAATTTATTTTTATAGGTTAAGAGAAATTGAAAACAGAAGCTTGAAAGTAGCTAATTTTGAGGCTTGGTTTAATTGTCACGTGTGGAACCCAATCTTCGATCAAGCCTTTGGTGATATGGATATGATATCCGTCGTTAGGTAATTTTTCTTAAAAATATAACTTGCTTAATGTATCTGACAAGATTCCTTTTCTAATAATCCAGAGGAGAAAGCGCAAGCTTGGCATCAGGAACGCGAAAGAATGCGAAAAGACAATCGGGAAAACGGCGGAAAATGGGTCGCAGAGGCGACTGGATCCTAAGGTTCGTCAGTAATGGTGAGAAAGATGAGTTTGGGGCCGGGGAAGCCGGGAAAAGTTGGGTGGATGAACAGGGAACGAAATTTCTCAAAGAGGCAGGGTTAAAGCTACCCAAAACCCTCAAAGATATGCTGGTAAAATTAATGGCAAAAACACGTTGGGATAAAGAGAGATGTGCGAAAATTCAAACGGTTGGAGCAATCCACGCTGGTACGTTCTTCCTACTTCAGCAAAAAAATCAATCTGTCAAACTAATATCTTTAATTAATAGGTTTGATGATTATGATGGTATACCTGGACAACCCGGAGGGATACATCTGTAGGATCCGACGTAGTGAACCAATGGAAGTTCCAGATAATGCAGAAGAATTTCCTGACATTTTGGACATTTTAGCATCGGTTTTAAATATAAAGGTTGGATTCGTGCTTTTCTTCTTATAGTGATTATGCTATATATGTGTTAATATAAACTGATATATTCATAAATTTAGGCTGTGGTTCGAGAGACGATGAAGGCGGTACATACAAAAAAACAAACCACAAAATCATTTAAAGGAGCTGGGTTTCGAAAGCGACCATTAAACGAGGGTGAGTTCCAAATATCTTCGTGCTTAACAACACCTAAGAAGGCTAAAACATGCGCAGAAGCAAAAGCCCAGGATTCATATCCATCATCGCCATGTCCTGGATCTTCTGAGTCCGAATTACCATTAATATAGTTTAAGTTTTTAAGAAGATATCTAGATAGTATCAATTGTTTTTATATCGCAGGACGTGAGTTCAATCCGTCTGTAATTATCATTATAGGATTTATAGTTCATTTTACTCTAGAATATGTGCGTGAATGCGGGTGGTGTGGTGTGGATGTATATGTATCAGAATATATTGATTTTTTGACGCTGAAATATATGTACTATACCACGAAAATTATTCTGAATTTTGTATACATTGTATACATGGTTTTAAAGTTACATCACACAAATAGTCTTATAACACAAATAATACATAAGCAAGATTCTGTCAGCTCAAAAATATGTGATTTATTTATATTATCGTGCTATTTGATCAATAAATCCAGCTTTAGCCATCCAACTTCAAAGGCGTGTCCCAACCTAATCTAATTGCGAGAGGATCGTCAGTTGCCTTAGTGAAATCGAAGACCACAAAATTCCGATCTCGCAAATGTTTGTCAATAATCTTAGATGCTTTTTTTGGATCGTCTGTATATTGACGCACGATTCTGCATATATCTTCTCGAGATCCACTTCCTCGGAATATAACTAGATGTGAGATATTTTCACGAATTATCTTTGGTACAGCTTGATATTTTTGGGTCACATATATTGATGAAATATTTTGATGCCGACCACTAATGAAATAGGGAATAATTCGATCTTTGATTCAGCACAAAGATCTTCGAATACAACAACTGTACTTCGGCCTGGGGAGAATTTAGTTATATCGGGAATCTTATCAGGTATTATTCTTTTAAATGTGACATCCTCTCGATATGGTTTTTGGCTATTCGCAAAGATCTGAAAGCTAGTTTGTACTAATTGCCACTTCGGCTCAGTGTGCTTTCCTACCAATATAAGGTTATCATTCTTAATATACCGCTCCCCTTTTTTTCCTTTAAACATGCGCTGGAGTTTATTACCAAGCATAAGATTTACAACCATATTCGTTTTTCCGCTATGAGACCCTCCACAGACTAAAAGGCGAAAAGGCCAATCCGGCGCAAATCCGTTAGATTTCATATGCTTTAAAGATTCTTTGGGTATCTCATCAATGGCGTATACGTATATAGGCATACTCTTCTCTTTCATTCTAATTAAACCAAGTAATACTAAATTATTATATGAAAAAATAAGGATTTAATGAAATACAAGCATTTAAAGTTTCGTCTTTATTCTATAAGGCCCAGTTCCCGGAGATGCTCTGGAATAACTATGTGTGGATCTTCGTAATACCAGACATACCTTAGGACAATCTGATTTTCTTCACATAATTCTTTCTTGAGTTGATCCCGTTCTTGCTGTCTGATAAAATTATTGGGATCATTTCTATGAAAGAATTTTATATATTTTTCATGTTGTTCTCCCTGCACTTCGATTGCAAAACCATAGTGGTAATAAGGAATATCAAGTTCCAATCCTCTCGGATGTTCTAATGTTTTTAGAAAATCGGGTTTACGATTTTTTGAGGGTGGTCCTAAATATTTTGATATGATCTCACGGCATAAATTCTCACGCTTAAAATATGAACACAGTGAGCACCAACCTCCACTTAAAATAGTCTTTGGAGGGGCTTCCCATGTGAGATTTTTCGCAACGCCAAAGAAGCTTTGTATGTGCATCGTAATATCGTTCTGAAAGACAGTCTCCATTATTTTTTTGTGCTAGAATTTTCATATCAGAAATAGTCCGATTTCGTCCGCCACAGGTAGGACACCATTGGTGATGGTCTTTTATTTTATTTAAATTCGTAATCCATATATGACCCTTGTCACATTTCCACTGTAAAGGTGTTTTATTATTTACATAATCTGAAGATAGGCAATCCCCATTTTTGGTACGTGCCAGAGACTTTGCTGTCTCAATACTATGACGATTGCATTCAGGGCACCATGCATTTTTATTTTTTACACGATCAAGACTTGCAAGCCATTTATGACCTATAGAACATTGCCATAATAAAGCTTGACGACCATTGAGATATTTTTCAGATAAACACCTACCATTTTTTATAGATGCAATTTGGTTAGCTTCTTCAAGGGTAAGTCGTTTATTGCCTGCGCACTCTGGACACCATGTATTAAGATTTTTAATTCCGTGAAGTTTTGCAGACCATTCAGACCATTCATGACCTTTATTACATTTCCAGATTAAAGGGGTATAACTATTAATATATTCTTGGAAAAGACACTCTCCGCCTTTATTGATAGCAATTTGCTTAACATCTTCAAGAGTAATCCTGTGTCCCGCACAATAAGGGCACCATGAATTAAGATTTTTAATACTATGAAATCTGGCATGCCATTTATGACCTTTTACACAACGCCATAATAAAACTGATTTACTATTATCAAATTTTTCAGAAAGACATTCACCACCCCTACTAATAGCAATTTGTTTAGCATCTTCAAGTGTAAGTCTTCGATTAAATTGACATTGTGGGCACCAAGTGCCACTATTTTTTATGCTAGCAAAAGAAGAATACCATTTATGGCCTATAGCACAGCACCATAATAATGGTGAATTGCTATTTATATATTTTTCAGAAAGACAGACACCATTTCTATCATGTGCGATTCGTTTGGCCTCTTCAATTGAATGACGGCAATTAGGGGCACACTGTGAACACCATGAGTTTTCCGTTTTATATTAGCAAGATAGATAAACCATTTATGACCCATAGCATAATGCCATAATAAAGGTGAATGATCATTAATATACTTATCTGAAAGACACAGACCTTCTCGCTCTATAGCAATATTACAAGCAATTTCTAAAGATAATTTGGGTGACATTGTTTTCTTAAGGATATTTTTCCTTTAAATTAAGATTGTAGCCGATCAATAGCAAATCATCATTTTTGATATAACGCGTCCTTTCTTTCTTTTCATTAAACATTCGATAAAACTTAGTTCTGAGTATGAGATTAAGAACCTCATTAGTTTTCCTCAAATTGGTACGGCTATTGATTAGAAGTGTGAAAGTCCATTGGGAGACACTCAGATGACCATTATATTTTTTGGCATCTTTAATCTCGTTAATATGGTATACTAGCCTATCAACTGGCTCAAGTTTCTTTATTTTCATGGTAAGCTAACTATTAATAATAATATACTAAAAAATATTAGACCAATTTATCAGTCCTCCCTTTTTATTCCTTCGCTTTATCCAAGAATCCTTTCTTGATTAATGTATGTCTAATAAACAAATATAAATCCGCAGTATAAGGCACTTCAATAAGGTATATACCTTGGTTCTTGCATATATCCCGCTTTTTCTGATCGCGCATATTTTGTGATTTTAGATTTTCATTCTCCCAGTGGTAGAAGCTATTGTGACGATAGTGTTGAGTACTCTGAAATTCGAATGCAAGATGCAATTCCTCATTATATCCATCTAAGTGTAGCCTATCTAAGAACTTAGCTTTACATGGCGGGAATTTCTTGCCTAGCAGATCCTCAAAAATGTATCGGCAATTTCTTTCTCTAGTATGGTGACATAGTGGATACCATTCGAATTTTTTCATGATATATTTTAGTGGATACTCCCACTGATGCGTACCATTTTCACAAGATCAAAGATACACATCATGATCATTTATTTGATCAGTTTTACCAAAACATTGGCCACCACATTTTTTGCATAATTAATAGCTTGATTCTAGTCCTTCGTCGAATCCTTTATCTCTTTATTAGTGATATAGGCAACATACACAGATAATATGCTTTGGGGTGAATACCCAACTTTTTCTGGGTCAACTATTAATATGAGTTCTTCTCTAACAAACCCCCATTTTAGTGTAAATTCATCACCTTCAAGATAATATAAGATTGGCTCATTCTTTATAACAATAACTTTTCAGATTCTATGAAGATTTGGACTGAATGTAGGGTCAGTTGCACGCTTCTGGTTCTCCATTCTACCCTCCCATTTTGCATTGGCAAGAAGATAGCGGACAGTATCTTCTTTCTTTAATCTTATTTCATCTTTTCCAACTGGACGCTTATATTTTGTAGATGATCTAGATTTTACTCATTCTAATACAATGGCTTTCACTAGCTCGAGTCTCCACTTTTTTGATCTCAATTCTCGAATAAGACGAGTGAGATAATTATTTAGATAATCAATAACCATAGGTAAATGCCTAACCCATACTTTTATCAATTTTGAATTGAGATATATAGATTCAACAGCATCTTGGATTTTATAGAGTATTTTTGTGAGTGTCTTGTTAAAACGTTCTGCAAAAGCTACTCCTCAATAAAAATATGCACCAATCACTCGAATAGTAACATTATGCTCTTTCATCAATCGAGAAGTCTTTCTCATAAATTTACAACCTCCATCACATATTAGAAACTCTGACCATACAAGAGGATTATTGGGATCATCATATTTTTTTCTGAATGCTCTAGCAACTTCTGAACTCTTCTTCGATGTGAGTGAAACAGAAGTTTTATATCGGGAAGCGCAATCTATTATATTAAGTCCTGCTATATATTTTTTACGCTTATAATGATCATGTATAAGGAATAGCAAATCACATTGGTGTACGCAATTTGGGCAGGTTATTCAGCTATAGCTACATCTAGAAATATTTTTTGGAGGAGTTTTATGTATTTGATATATATGTTGCTATTCTAAAAAATCACGACATTCACTTAGGCGGAATCGATACACCTCTTTTTTACACGCATTACTTACCTTAAGTGTTTTCAGCAAGGATTTAGGATTAGAATAATATCTGATTGGGTGATAATATATATCATGCAATATAATATTTTTTTGATTCTCTGAGCCTCATCAGGATCTATCACAATTTGCAGTTGGCTTATTCTCAAGGTAGGATTATTATGATAATACTATAAATTAGAATAAAATACCATGTTTGATCCAGCATATTCATAGCTTTTAGATATGAATCAGGAGCTTCGTAACGAGCTTTGAGATGTGATTTCTATTAATAAGAATAGTGAGAAAAAAATTCGCTTCCTTGAGAAGGAGCTTGAGCAGTATTATCAAACTATTTCATCTCAAAATAAAACTATTATAGCTCATAAAGAAGAGATAGAATCTCTTAAGACAGAGATCAAATCCCTTAAATATCATCTTCAAAAAACATTGCGAGATTTAAGACATAAAAGTAATGCTAGTACTTCTCAAGATATCCATATTTTAGGCTGGAAGATAAGGTTGATCAGCTTAAGAGAAGAATTCAGGAGCTTACAGATAAAAAGTTATTATTAAAAGGATCAGATATGGATCATATCATTCAAGGTATTTTAGACAGACGATTTGAGGCTTCCAGTTCTTTAGAAAGAATAAGAACACATTTGGATAATACTAGAGTTGTTCTTCCAAATGATATAACTGGAAAATTTGATAGAATTGGTATATGTTTTACTAATATTATTATGGTGTCGGAAATCTATACTCAAAAATAAAATTGTAACACTTAAAAATTTTTTAACACATTAAAAAAATAAAATTTTAAAAAATAAACCAGTAACTTTATTCTCCATGATAAGTATTATTAAATTACTGGCTAAATTTTCAAAATAATAATTACATAAAAAGTTATAAGCATTTAAAGTCAGGTGATTTTTATATGATTGACCAAATTTGAAACAAAATCAAATCACGTGCACGAAATTCTATTGGTCAAGGATTTTATAATTTGGGCCAACATTATAATAATTTAATGCTAGCCCAAATTATCATAATTAATTAGACTTGGGTATTTTTTTGATTTGATTTTTTTTTTGACTTATTTATTTATTTATTTATTTTTTTGATCTTCTTTTTAAAATTTGATTACATTTTTGAGATGCCACGTAAAACAAAAAGGCAATGGCAAGTTAGTTAAATACCTAGAAAAAAAGGACGTTATGTATCTCAGGATCAACTTACCATTGAAAGAGATACTTCAGAAAGTGAGATTATTGAATTGATTGATGATTTTGTTGATGATTGGACAGAAGAAGATTTAAAAGAGTTTAAAGATGTAGAAAAAAAACTTATCACCGAAACTCTTCATTAGCATAAAGATGCTAATCATAGTATCAGAGCAGTATATACCAGAAATTCAAGGACTACAACCTGGAGAAAAGAAAAAAAAAAGAGAAGTTAAAAGAAAATGCAAAGGAAATGAGAACAATTGATACCTTTTTTAAAAATTTTGAACAATCATCTTCATTATGATTATCTTCATCTTTATCTTTAAAAAGTTCTTCACTTATGTCACAATCATCACAACCATCTTTATCTCTATCTAATAACTTATATATCCGCTTAGAAGAAATAAATTAACAATATTTATTATTAAAATTCGCAAAAGAAAATGAGAAACTCTATATCTATGACTATTTACGCCACTTAAGCATACGTAAGTTTATTCAACTATTATTAGATAGACAAGGAAAGATGGAAGCCAGTAATAATATTATACAAACCATATAGAATAAGGGCGATTATATGGCATGTTGTATTCGAAAATGGGGAACCCATTTTATAAAAATGGGAGAACTTCTTCCTTATCATCAAGGGAAACATTCAAAGTTGGAAAGCTTATTAAATGATGAGGATTTTAAAGAAGAATGCCAAATGTGGTTATGGAAACAAGCACCAGAATCACGTTCTCCTAAAAGCCTAAAAACATATATTGAAAAAATGGTTTTTCTAAAATTAACGGGTCATATTAAAAAAGACACGATTTCTGAAAGAACCTGTCAGACTTATATGCATTTGTGGGATACAAGTATGATAAGAAAAAAAAGGGGGTTTATTATGATGGGCATGAATGGCCAAACGTGATAATATATAGGAAGAATTGGTTAAAAAGGATGTTTAAATATAAGAAATCTATGAAAGAATTTGATGGTGATATGTTGAACATTATTTTAGAACCCCAGCTTAAGGCAGAAGAGAAGGAATTGGTACAAATAACACATGATGAATGCCATTTTTACGTGAATGATAGGCAACAAAAGATTTATATAAATAAAGATGAGGATATTTTGCGCTCAAAACATATTAGACGCTCTATCATAGTTTTGGCCTTTCTTTGTCAATGTCATAGGTTATTATAATTATCTGATAAATAATTGCAAGCAAATCCGCACATCAAAAACAAAGAATCTTTTATTCTTCGTTCTATACAAACAGATGGATATTGGAAATCAGAGCATATGTTAGATCAGGTTTGTATTTTTCTTATTATTCATTATTTTTTTAAAGAAAAAAGTTTACTAATTTTCCTTTCTACTTATAAATAAAGCTCGTTCATCAGGCAATTCCGATATTTGAGGTATTGCATCCTAAATGCATTGGAGTTTTTTGCTTTGATCAGTCAATAAACCATAATACTATAGCAAATGATGCTCTTATCGCAACAAGAATGAACCTAAATTCTGAAGGAACGCAGCCTAAAATGCGTGATGGTTGGTACATTAATGAATATGATAAAAGACGTGTTCAATCAATGGTATTTCCAGATAATCATAAATTGAAAGGACAACCAAAGGGTATTAAACAAGTACTCAAAGAACGTAACCTTTGACCAACAAAAGGAATCCGTCTGATATGTGAGCAGTACTCTGAAAAACAAGATAATATTGAACCAAAAAGATCAGACTGTTGTACGCGTAAAATAATGTCATTACAAACTGATTTTTGTGAACAACGATCGATATTAGAAGAAGCAGTAATTAAAGCAGGACATATCTTTGAACGATATCCAAAATTTCATTACGAATACAATTTTATAGAGCGATATTGGGGCTTTGCAAAATGAAAGACCAGACGGTATGCAGTTATAGTTTTACAGAATTGTTGAAACAAGTTCCAGAAGTTCTTATTAGCGTTTCTATAATAACAATTCGTAAGTTTGCACGCAAGTCGTAAAGGTATATGGACGCATATGACAAGGGATTGAAGGGTAAGGCTGCTGAGTGGGCGATTAACAAATATAAATTGCACCGTCGTTTACCAAAGAGCATTGAAAAATTAATAGAATAAATATATTGTAGTTAGTTATATAACTAGTCACAAATGTAAAAATCGTTAAAAACAATATAGTAAATAAAATACTTAGCTTATAACATTGCTTCTTTCCACATGTTTAATAGAAGTTGGCTTAAATATTGGTACACATAAAGTTCAACATTGTCAATTGATCATCTTAAAATTCAGATCGTTACTTATTACACAAATATTCTTGGTTTTATTAGTCGATTTTGATTCACATGACTTGAGATTTTCGCAAAAAATTTGAAACAAAGTTACGTGATTTTTGAGTATAGATTTCTGGCACCATACAAGTCTTAGTTTGATTTAATGGTATTGGCAAGATCAGGAATATTTTGTTGATCAATTAACTCAGCGAGCCAAAAATGCTAAGTACAATTTTCAAAATCTTAAGGTACAGTCAGAGCATGATAATCAAATGTTTAGACAGGCTTTAAATAATGAGGGGAAGCGCGTAGAAAGAATTAGGAATTGGCTCAGGATTTGCGAGCATATGCTTAAAGTATGGTTACTAGAAAGCAAAATCAAATTAATACACTATTACAAGAAAAAATTATCCTCCAGCTAATAGTTCGACGTAGAGATGATCAAATTACTAAGCATAGGAGAACTGCGTATAGATGGACTATAAGGTATAATAACGATGCTGAAAAGTGAAGAAGATAACATAATTGTATTATTTGATAGGCTCAGAATTGGTATAGATGATATAGAGATGAGAGCAGAGAACACCAGAAATGGCGTGGTATTACTTAAAGATTAGAAGGAGCTATAATAAATAATGATGCTAAAAAGCAAGCTCATATTAATACATTAGTACAGGAGAAGTTTGCTCTTCAGCTAATAAATAGAAATTCCTGACAAATTATTTTTAATCTACAGAATAATCCACTAAATATATTAGGAATGGTAGGATACAGTCCCTAATATTTTATGGTCGTCCTGGAGAAGATCCAGAAGATTGGTTTAGAGATATGCAAAGATATATAATAGCTAGTCAAATAAATATTGCGTCTGGTGCAGGTCAGGCTCCTGAAAGAGAAGAGGCATTTGGATCAGTAGTATCATGCCTTGCAGGTGATGCATTGAATTTTTATTTAACTCGCATCAGAGGCAAGAATTGGAGATGTAATAATCTTTTAGATAATTTGAGAGTAGCTATTTTAACTGCCGTTCGAACTTTGGTCACTGGAAATGGTGGTAATCAAATTGGTGGTTTGAATACTGCTAGAGAATTTCAAGGTAAGGTGGCCGTCAAATTGGTAGAATTGGAGCAGGAATCACAACTGGTGCTGATATTATTCCGAATAGAACATGAGATGAAAACTGGTCAATAGCTGGTAACAAACCTGTAGATAATGCATCAGTAGCACCTAAAGCTAGTGGTAGTCTTCCTGCTGTTACTATTACTCTTGGTATTAAGCTTGGTCAACTTTTATACCTGTTTAGAACCGCTTATACAACAGTTGAACACTTAAAACAAACAGCAGTTTTTGGTCAATTCATGCAAGGTGATATGTTAGTTGAGCAATTCTCTACTAGAATTAAAAAGATTGGTAAATTAGCTGAAATGACTTTTGAACAGCAAAAAGAGCAATTTATTCGTGATCTGTCTTTGATGAATCAATATTATCTTTGAATGATAGCCAAATTTTATGATACATAGGATAGTATTACAAAAGCTCTAGCTGAAGCGGAAAGATTTACATTATCTCAAAAGAATGCATCATCTTCTTTCCATTTTTTCTAGCGGCTAATCCATATGCAGATACTAACAGATCAGGGATGACTAAAAATGAAATCAAAAGTTTGGTAAAAAATACAATAGCATCCTCAGAACCTCAACAGTCCCAACAAGTAGCTTTATCACAATTTCAATCACAACCTGCAGGAACGCATAAAAATTTACGAGATGAAAATATAGGTAGGTTTTTATCATAAATTATGGGAGAAATCCTAGAATTTGTTCCTGTTCCTAATCCTACTTTGCCACCAAAGCCAAAGAAAATGGTTGAAGTTGATTCTAATGATGAACTTGCTGAGCTTACAAAAAAGCAGTTAAAGCTTCATTTAGCTAAAGCGATTAAAAAAGCTGTGAAGACATAACAGCGGTGCTCTAACTGTAACTGAACTAGACATAATTCTCGCAAATGCACTCGAAAGAAGAAAAAGAGGTCTAAGAAAGCTAAAGTTAATTTTGCTACTATGGATTCAGTTTCTAATTTAGATTCTAGTACCTCCTCTAGTGAATCATCATCTAGTGATAGTTCAGATTTTGACACAAGTTCTTCTGATTCTTCTGATTCTGGAAGGGATATCAGTGTTAATATTACTAAGTCAAAAAAAAGTAAAGCGTAATACTTCATCTAGTAATAAATCTAGATCTAAAAGCAAATCTGAGAAAAAGGCCTGCAAAATAAAGCAAGATGATACATTTGCCGATTCTTTTTCTTCTAAAGTCCAGATTATTCGTAAAATAGTCCAGAGTGAGCTTGGTTCAGCTTTGCGAGAAGAACTTAAAAAGATCTTTCCTCCGTATATGATTCAGGCTCTCCCGCTAGATACTAAGAAGTCTGCTAAAGAAAAGGTCAAACTAAAAGCTAATGATTTCTCATCTCTTCAGGAACCAACTCCCGCTATACCTGAGTTAGATAATGAGTATATTGATGATCCTATGGAAATAGATTTCATTCAAAGAAAAGAACCCGCCACAGATGTTGCTACTGTTAAGTGTAAAATTAAGCGTCTAGTGATTCTGACAGGTACAGTTGATCCTGATGCTAATTTTCTGATCATGTCTGAGGATATATCTAAATGATCAAAGCTAGAAATTGATACAAAAGAATAACATGATTTCAGAGGTATTGCTACTACTCCTACAGAATCCCTTAGAATTGTTAGAAATGTCCCAGTGAATTTTGCTTCTGGATGTACTATATATGCCAATTTTGCAGTAGTTAAGTATCCTAAGCCAATGCTCATTTTACCCAACATATTGCTTGATAAATATAACTATGATTTACTTGCATCAAAGCGAGAATTAAGACTAGAGTGCAATGGTAAGGAATTTTTTATCCCAATTAATATGCATAGGTCAAGAATAAGCTTAAGATGAATTGCATGAACATTACTCCTGAATGTGATGATCTGTCAGCTCTGGACAAGATTTCTCAGAACCCGCAGGACTTAAGCAAAGATAGTACATTAAAAAAAACATGAGCTATGCTTTAGCACCTTCAACTGAGAGTATGGCAATTCGTATAAAAGAACTTGAGAAGAAGCTTTCCATTACTCTCAAGTTCAATGCGGAAATCAATGAGTTTTATAATAGTCTTCTTAGGAAATAGGTAAGTTATTTTTAGGATAATGCTTTTTTCATCTGCAATTTTTGTGCTTTTTTCGACCATCTTCTCATATAATGCATCCAAATTTACATTATTTATATCCTTCTTTGAAGCTGGGATTGGCTGAGTCTCAATAGATGGTGCTGACAAAGCTAACGTGGACTTCAACTTCTTCCCTTCAGTTTTTTTTGCTTTACCACCTAAAATAACACTCCCTTCTGAAGCCAAATCGGTAAACTCACTAAATTTGATCTCAGCATTGCATATCTTTTTTTTCAGTTCTGTGAAGGGAATATATTTTGGTCATATATATCTAACTCAGTCTGTTCTATCTTATTAGTCTGGGAATTCTCATCTGAAACAGGCTGATCGGAGGAAGATTAAATAACCAATCCTTCTGGAACCATCTCTTGCTGAAGGCATTCTTTGTTATCCCATATTTCATAAACACGCTTAGGTCCAGAAATTTATTCATCCATTTTTTTCCTGCCATATAACCATGTCAAGATTATGTCGAACCTATATAGGTTCAATGATATAAAAGATAGAGGACATCGGCTGGGTAGTACATATGAGCAAGAGCTTGAAAAAAAAAATAAGAACTGCTATCGATTTTAATTCTAAAATTATCGACTTCAATAAAAAGTTATAGGCTGAAAATTTGGAGTATTTAGAGCGAAAGAAAGATATTAGAAATAAGATTAGTCAGTTAAATGCATCTAACGCTAAAGTTAAATCCCAACTTATTTCTGAACGGAAGTCTCATTTTGAGAGTCAACGTGAGCTTGAAGCTGAAATAAAATCATTTAAATCTTCTATTAGAACTCTGAAAAGAGAGGCGATCCTGACCTAGAAAGCTTCATCCTCTGATAAGGTTGGGATTCTCTCTCTTGAAATTAAAGTACGTGAATTGGAAGGTAAGTTAGAGGATATGAAATCAGATCTGCTATTCTATAATTCAAATATAATAGGGAAGCACTGGCCCAAATAAACTTATTTGATTCTAAAGAGATTGATTCTCTTAAGCTTGCATTAGAATGAGCAAATGAGGACCTTAGTTCAAAAGAATATATAATAGAATGTATAGAAAAAGGGATAGAATCGTCAGATAACATATACAAACGAGAGTTAAATATTCGGTCTTCAGAACGATTAAAATTGATGGAGAAAAATAGGTCTCTTAGAGATCAGTTAGCATTAAAGAAAGAGCCAAGAGGCACTTCGCATAATGAAGTAGATCCCCACCTCTACCTATAAATGATTCATCGCAAAGCTACCAGGTTAGGTCAGTGATGATTTAAGACCCCTCGTTTATGAGCATGGTCTTGAAGATAAAGTTATGGAACTCGATAAAAGTTTTGCCAGGGAACATATATTAGAGGCTTTGCAAGAATTATTATTCTGGTATAAGATAGTTTTAAGAAGCTAGACAGATACCTTACCAATCAATCTGTTCATAGTCGACTAGCATATTTCAAAAAGTCTATTTTAAGAGAAGAGGTTGCGGAGCAGTCAGGTGGCGTAGAAGTGGTGGCATCATCTCAAGTAATATCTTTAGAGGGTCCCTCTAGAACTGCATCAGCTATTCCTGTCATTGAAAGTTCCTTTATATCATATGTCATACTTACCTTATTTCTTCTTGTAGTT